CCGAGCCCCCATCCCCTACCTCCCCCGCCGACAACCCATAACTTCTTGGAGGCGAGCGCCGCGATGCTCTCCCTCTCTCTCCCTCACCACCCTCCGTCGCCCAGCAGCAGCAGCGGTTACGGCTGCAAGATTACAGCTACCCCCCCTCACCCTCCTCCAGTCTGCAGGAACCGAAAACGCGCCAGATAGCAACAATAACGACAAGCTGTATTTCCCTGCCGGTGCATTCAGCGTCCGCAGCGGCGGCAGTGCGGAGCGCAAACGGCCGCGGCCCGCTGCTCCGCTCCGCTCCCCGAACTGCAACATCTCGGCCACGACGGCGATGCGTCGCCATCGGGTTGCAGTTCGAGGGGGAAATAATCGCTCGGAATGGAAACGCAAACCGCACGCGCTGCGCGCTGCGGGGGAATCGCTGACGCCGGCGAATATGCAAAGCATTTTCTCTTTTTTCCCCCTCTGCAAATATTCATTCTCTTCCATTCGCTGTGACGGATTTTCGTTTAATCTGATGATAGGATTGAATTGTTTCAGCAGCTTGAAAAGTTGATATTGCAAATATGAAAAGTAAACCACGCGATATCCACACTCTTAAACCGTTACTAAGAAAATTCTTGTATTACAAAAAATTATGAGGAATTCCGCGCAACTGTAATACAAAGCCAAATTTTCTTTGGGATGCAAAGATAATTCTTTGTAATGCACAGAGAAATCCTTGTAATACAGAGAATTCATTTTTGTAGAACAAGGAAATTTCCTGTAATACAAGTAATTTCCTGTATATTACAGTTGCACAGAATTCTTTGCATTATACGAAAAAAATCTTTGTAAAAGTTTTAGTGAGCACCGATATGGAGAGCTGTTGTTTAAGCTTCAGTTTTTTTTGTTCACATTTTAAACGACGGAAAGCACAGTGATTTCCCAAAGATGAGGAAATGTAGACGTACTATAAGAAGGGTCTGCTCATCTTACCTGTCATGGTGATCCTGGCGGGGCGCGCGCTCACCCTCGTCTCGCCGGTGAGCCGGTGCGCCACGCGGCACTGGTACGTCACGTACGTGTCCTCCGGGAGGGCGTTGAGCACCACCAGCTCGCCGGTCGGCAGCATGTGCAGCTTGCCGTCTGCGAAACCAATCAGTCGCATGACAATCAATTATTAATCAGTCAATCAATCAATCAATCACTGGAAGCGGAGCGGAGTGGGGCAGGAGAGCGCTGACTGAGGGCAGTGAGTGACAGAATAAGGACCACCCCTCCCCCCCCTTTCCCAAAATCACCTCTAACGCGGGCGGCTTATCCTTACCAGACAGTATCAAGTACAAAATCTGAGGAAACGCTGGAAGCATTGTAACAACATATATCGACAACATCGACAAATACTGTTGTTAATTTTTAGAGGGAGCTAGTTATGAACGGTTATCAGCGGTGACGTACGTAAAACACAAAAGATTAAGGGTTTCAGTCTTGCCACATTGTCCTACTGGGTCTTCCCCACTTTTCACCTCTACAGTTCATCCCCCTCCCCTCAATCTCACCCCCCCCAAAAATGATATAACATGAAAAATTTTCGCCCACTCGGGGACGTCGGTGATGGGGTTCAATAGAGCCAAAAAGGATATAGAGCGTTTCCATAAAGAGCTATAGAGAGCGTGAGGGAGGAAGCCGTCCCAAACCTTTTTCTTCTTCTCTTTCCGGATGCCCAGCAGTAGTAGTTTGTCTACAAATGGCAGCCAGCAGAGGGCCGACCGTCTTGTCCACCCCTCCTTCCCCTCTCTCTACCCTCCGGTGGTGGCGCCCGGTAGGCAGGGACACGATACCGCCGTAACGACGTCGTCAAAGGAGCTCCGCGCGCTGAATGCACAATGCGGCCGGATGCGGGACCAGCTCCGCAGCGGGACCGACAGGGGACCGACGCCACCACCTGCTTGATTTCCGCACGACGCGTATAAAACTACGGCGCGGAACCTGCCGAAGGGCGCGTGCAGAAGGGCTAGTACGACTACGCGATGCCGCGCCAGGATCGTCCTCATCGTCACTACTTCCAGGGCTCCCGGAGAGAAAGATAAGAATAATAATAATAAACGTTATCGGACGGACACGTCCTACTACTTATTGTCGTAAATGCGAGGCGAGGCACGGTTTTGTCCTTTCCATTCGAAGAGCTGGTGCGACGATAACAGAAACCTGTATTTGGCTTTATAAGGAGGGTTTTGCTGGTAAATGGTAATATCTGGAAATCGGGAAAGGCAAAAAAATCCAATAGTGACACGCGAATAAAAAAAAATCATCATATTCCTATTTTTACGAAAAACTATTTATAAAGTGTGGAGGACAGGGTACTCGCTTCTTTTATTTCTCGGATCCGTCCCATTCTGTTAGGTTGCATCTCCGGCGGCAATGGATAGTGAACACAAAAGTGCCCTTTGGCGAGCTGGTCGTCAAAGAAGAAGAGGCTGCTCGGCATAGCGCTGCTACAAATACTTTTTTTTTCACGATGGGTATTCTACGAACACGTAGAGTATCTCGGCCGACGCAGTCGCTTTCATGACGCCAGAGCGAGAGGGGGGTGGGGGGTAGACGTGCAGCAGGGATCAAAGCGACTGGTTCCGTCTTTGTTTGTCGTTCGTCGTGATGACCAGGTATGTTCCGGTGGGGATGGCCGGCGATGGGAAGAAACTGCGCCAGTGTGGCCTTGGAAGAATTGCAGTCCAAAGGGACTCTAGTCGGTGAGATACCAGGAAGGAGGCTCCAGAAAGATTTGGATATTTTTTTCCTTCTATAATGTTTGCATGCGTATAATACTGAATAGTGAGTGGAAGTGTTTAGCGCCCAAATATATATTTTTTAAATCCAGATTTAACAAACATTGAGCAGGAGCCCTTTTTCTAGAGTAAAGAAATCTTCTGATCTCGTCTGATCCACACTTCGACTATGTGACACACCCAGCAGGGGTAGCTCAGCGCGGAAGTCCGGCCAAAGCGATGGTACCCTGGGGGAAACGCTGTCTATCTTCGTCTCACTTCAAGGCCGACGCAGAAGAGCTGCAGATGTCGGTAAGTACAATGAGCGACGGCATTTGTTCTTCGTCGCACAAGGAAGGTGGAGCGGTACTGAACACAAACAGAGGAAAGCTCTGTTACACCCAAGTGGTGGGGAGCCCTGAGTCGGTTCATCACTGGGACATAAAAAAAATCAGGCGACTAACAAAATTTTGTAAAGTAGCGAGAAAATCAAAAGGGCGTGAGGCTCTAAAATTCTGCAAAACTGTTGAAATACAACCGGACGTCTTCGAAAACAGATTATGGTGCTAAAACGCGACGGGCTGTGCTTAGGTTTTCGCGAGTCTGTAGCAGCAGGTTCGGAGGTCCTCACCCTCTGCTGTAGTGCCCCTGCCCCGACTGCTCGCTCCCTCCTGTTTGCAAATTCGTGCATCTGCGGGGAGTGCGCGCGCGCGCGCGCGGGAGTGCGCGGGCGGCGCAAGTTAGCTTCTGTCTGCCAAGTATATGGTCCCAGTGAGAGCCAACTCGAGGCTTAAATCACCCCGCTGTCGCAACGTCCCTGCGGTGTGCCGTGTTCGAACTTTGCCCGCGCGCGCGCACGCTCGCGCACGCCGAGGCTGGAGGAGGTCTCTGCCCGCTGCCTCATCGGCCCTTCGCCCGGGCCGCGCTCACCAAACTCCCCTTTTACCACACTCTTTGACAAGTCGGAAGATCGCGCGCTGCTGCTGGCTGCCGAGCCACTGCCGGCGAGGCCGCAATAACAAATATTTGAAGTTATTTCCGACCTTTGGTGAGGAATATCGCACACACCAAAAAGTTTCAATCGGCAACACTTGTTTGTATGGAATTTTAAACATTCAGTTTGTTGTCCAGCATCGACAAATTTTGCACCATTCTTTAAAGGTTTTCAGAGTGTTTGCTCTCGCTCACAAAAGGAAAGGGAATCTTCCCATTTCTTTTCATGGTGTCTTCAAAAAAAAAAATTGTGGCGTAAAAAAGAATCCACCACATTATGCCGAGGAGACAGAAGGAAATAAAGTAATGGTCGTTGAAATGGAACCGGCCGCAGACTTTCTCTTTCAGCCGGCGGCGGCGGCGGTGGCGGCAGTGGCCCTCCAGAGAAATGCGACGTCAGCGACGACGCGAAGGAGTCGCCCCGGGGGGGAGTCCAAAGCCGTGTGCGGAAGGTCATCTCGGCGGGTCACGGCGTGGCGTGGCGTAGCGTGGCAAGGCGGGGCGTGGCGGGGCGGGGCGTGGTGGGATGTAGCGGCCCCCAGGGGAGCGCGCCCCCGCGGGCCCGTGAGCCCCCCAGGGGAAGGCCTCTTACTCCGGCCGGCTGCCGGCGGGCGCCGAGGCGGGCGCCCGGCCGCGAGGCTACTTCGATCGGTCCCCATCATCGATATCTGAAATGGGAAGCCATGAATCAGGAGCGGCGGCGGCGGCAGCTCCGGGGCCCCCGGCTTTATAAGGAAACCTCATCGCCCGGGGGACCGACCCGGCGGGGACCGACCCGGCGCGGACCGACCGGGGAACCGGGCCCTAATGTATGTACCCTGCACAAAAAAGCGTGCGACAGTTCGCACAATGGTAACGTATAACACAACTTTTGGCAAATATAACTATGAGTTTATCAAACACAAACGCGCACTAAATTTTTATGGGTTTTAAAAATAATTACTATCTGTACGCATGATTTACATTCAAAATGATTAAGCGCTCTGATGCAAAATTTTTACAAAATTATCTTTACATAAAACTTGTTTGTGCGGTTTTATAAGCTAAAGTTTACTTAGTTCAAGTCATTTTTATTTCAAACAGTTTGTATTACCTTTCAGTTGCCCAGTTAAAACTGTGACAATGTTCGTTAAGGATGGGCGCCAAAAGTTTAAATCGCAACCTTATTGAAGAAAATATGCGAACCGCTGCAAGCCTTTCGCGAAACAAGAATCGATCTTAAAAGCAGATGATACTAAGTTATGAATATGGCTCTTATTTTCTCTCATTAGCCGCAATCCGTTTAGTTGCTTGCAATATTGCAATTCGGTGACCTAGTGGCGTAGAGGAGGACATATACGGGAAGGGCAGTACGGCAGGCGGCGGCGGCCCAGTATTGTTGGGCAGGGAAGAAGGGGCCCATCCCGATTCCACGCGGTATTGTTAGGCAGCGCAAGGAAGGGGCCTTCTAGCACGGCCGGCGCGACACTCAGCCAGCCAACCCGAACACCATCATTCCCCCAGCGCACAAATATGTGATTTCTGGTTTTGCTCTCAGTTCTCTCTCCTACTTATCGAGAGTTAAAGCTAGCTGCTGACACCTTAAAGTTACTTATGTGTTCTTTATATTTATTGAAAGTATGTAAGGTATCATCTGCTAAAAAGCATAATGCAAATAAATAATGCACGTTGCACATACATCTTTCTGGTGAAAATGTCTGGGTAGTAAGTGACGAACTTAGAAATAGAGAGAGGAGGGGAGGAGGGGTGCTGAGAGAGGGATAAGGTTCGGGGTGGAAGAAACGCTCGTAACAAGTGGGGGGATCCCCGGACGACCACATGCTACAGCACCACAACACGACCTCCACCTCCTCACCCTCGCCCCTAGCAAGAGAGAGAGAGGGGGG